AAGACGTTTTTAACTTCAAACCGTTGCTTCCGGCTAAAATACGAGTCTGTAATCCATAATAACGCTTCCTCCAGTGAAAAAGTGCTTCTCCTGTTGTCTCTCACAACAAAATCCAGCCACATGTTTGTTTAGAGCTGTTTTGATCTGTGCAGATTTCTCTCCTGATTCAGACCAGAACACTTTTTCACTGGAGGAAGCCTTATTATGGATTATGGACTCATAATTTAGTTAAAAACATCTTATTTGTTTCAGCTTTTGTCTTCTCCAGATGTTAACTGATGGACTGGAGTGGTGTGGATTACTTGTGGATTATTGTGATGTTTTTATCAGCTGTTTGGACTCTCATTCTGACGGCACCCATTCACTGCAGAGCATCCATTGCTGAGACACTGATGCAATGCTACATTTCTCCAAATCTGATGAAGAGACAAACTCATCTACATCTTGGACGGCCTGAGAGTGAGCACACTTGCAGCACATTTACATTTTTGGTGAACTATTCCTTTAATGTACAAAAAAAAAAAGGTACTACCAATGAAAACTTTCTTTGTCAGCCTTAAAGAGAAATATACAGGAGACGTTCCTGGTTTTTATCTTGGTGTTTTTGATCTGCTTTCTAATATTGTGAACTTCTTCCCTTGTGCTGCTGTCACACTTAATAGAGCACAACCGTGTTTCCAGAAATAAAATAAAAAACATTAATTTTCTCCATAGAGAAAACGACTTTCAGTGATAAAGCACCTTGAGTGACAGACTTGAGTGCACTTTAAAGTTGCTTTGGTTAAAAGCATCTACCAAACACATAAATGCAAATGTAAAACATACTTCACCCAAAATCGTGACGAGAGATTCATCACTCAGAGTTCTCAAAACTACTTACATTTTTGTATATATCTGAATACATTGCAATGAAGTTAAAATATATTTGATGTAAGGAATTAGTTCAAGTTCAAAGGGAATCGAATCCAAAGATTTGAAATCAACTCGATTCAAAATTGATAGTTTACACTTTATCAACTATTCGTCCAGCGAAACATTAAAATTAGTATATCTTAACAATTTTGATATTTATATTATTCCCTTGGCCAAAGGTCATAATACTGTACATGCTAGTGATAATGTATTTGCTAGGTAACAAGATCTGGGCATGAGGTTAGCTTTATAAACACAGAACACAAGACACTGCTTCTTTAAAATGAAACAAGAATTTATTATTTGCTACTCTAAGATACATGAAACTACTACTAAACACACACACACACACACACACACACACATACAGTTGAGAGGATGAGAGTTACTGTGTTTGAATGAAGTCCCAAAAGTCTAGTAGTTGCTAGTTCTTAAATCGCACCCCAAGAAAATCACAAAAGCAGAGATTTGGCTTATTTTTAGCTGCTTAAGATAGATTCAGCACCAATTTTTTTTTTGCGAGAAAGGAGACTTTGTTTGTTTACTTGCGTTTGGTTGAAAACATGGTTTTCCTCGTTGGCTTGTCTCAGGGAATCACGGCGCTTCTGATTGGTTGGCGAAATATTATAATAATAGAAATAGAAATATTATAGAAATTAATAGAAATATTATAATATAATAATATGAAATATTATTATTACAATGTAAAATAGCTGTAAATATATAGTAAAATGTAATTTATTTCTGTGATGCGCAGCTGTATTTTCAGCATCATTACTCCAGTCTTCAGTGTCACATGATCTTCAGAAATCATTCTAATATGCTGATTTGATGCTCAGGAAACATTTCTGGTTATTATCAATGTTGAAAACAGTTGTGCTGACAAATAGGTATTTTTGTGGAAACTGTGATACATTTTTCAGAATTTCAGAAATATTTTTCAGAACTCTCTGATGAATAGAAAGTTTTAAAAAAAACAGCATTTATTTGAAATTGAAATCTTTTGTAACATTAGAAATGTCTTTACTGTCACTTTGATGAATTTAATGCATCCTCGTCAAGTATTAATTTCTCTCAATAAATACTGTAAATATTTAATAAATACTGTAAACATTTTAAGTAGAGACTGATGCATGCTGCTATAAGTAGAAAAGCATCATATATTTTATCATTCACTGAACTTCAAAATAAACACATCACAAGCGCACAGCCAGAGAAATCACTACGAAAACCGACACCTTTTCCAACAGGAGACTTTCTGATCCGCCTCTCACCCGACTGGAAATCTCCCGAACGCGATCTGCATAATTGTTTGAAGCCAGCGTGTTGTTTATAGATCAGCAGGGCGTGAATGAGCGCCTGAAGACAGCGGTGGAAAATTACGAGGCCTGACGATTAAAAAACACTAGCGGTGTGCCTCATTAAACTTACAGTAGATTTTCCTAAACAATCAGTAATTAACAACACGGCCCTCCATCATAAATCCACATTAAGACTCGAGGCCATAAAACAACAGGTCAGATGAGGCGATCGCTTTAAACGCTAACAATAAAATCATACCATAATTCATAAATGAGATGACAGCGGGAACACGGCTGGCCTTTTCCCAGCCTGATTGATGAGCTCTGAATGTATAACACATGAAACCAGACTCATCGATAAGTGTATTTATATTCCGAGGGGTTTTGCATGCGACGCTCCCGTAGCACAACACAGGAGCCCTCGGTCCCAGACACACACCGTCAGAGGCCGACAGCTGCATAAAAATGACCAGCAAATGATGAGTGTGGTTTGGCAGGAACATTTATCACGTCTAGACTGTGTTTTTACTCCGAGAGAGAAACAGAGAGGAGGTCTGGCTTAAAAACCTTCAAACACTTGACACTAGTCAAAAACTGACTCTTCTGAAAACATTATAAACTGTGGTAAAGCAGTGTTGTTTTGGACACATACTCTGGTGAGTAAGTGCATGGTAAAAACATGGTATTCCTGGAAGTGCTTTAGAATACCAATAAAATTCTAGGGCTGGGAATTGGCATAAACCTCCCAATTCTATATTATAATGATTTAGAGCTGCCGATTCCATATATGTTTTATTTTTTTTGTATTTTTAGTATTTTTATTAAGCATGTTTTAAGTAGTTTTATTCATTTAAATATAAAATTGTAATTACAAAAGTAGTTTAAAATGATTGTAAAAAAAATAAATTAAAAAAAGTAATAATAAACAAAAACAATGGTGTGTCGTAAACTATTTTTCAAATAAATATTTAGCTGCCAATTAAATATGTAATGAGACTTTTTTTTTAAATTACTGTTAGTATTAAGTAAAAATTTCTTAAGCATTTTTTAATGCATTAAGCATTTTATACATTTTGGCTCTCTGTGTCCAGGATGATAACTGCTGTTTATTTATTTTTATATTTAAAAAGTTCTATTGCAAAAAAAGAAATCCACTCATCCGCCCTCTAAACTCTGAAGTCCTGAGAGACTCACTTTACCTTCATAGTCCGATACCTCTCATCATTCAGTATCTCCTCAACTCTGGAGGAAGAGCCGCATTCTGAGATCTCCTGTGAAGATAGAGACGTCAGACACGCCTGAGTCACACAAACCGCTCAATCCAGCTCATTCATGAGCTGTTATGATTAAACACGCTAACTGTGAATAATCTATACACACACACACAGCATCCTAGTTAATTGCAGCTTGATAAGTTTAATGAAACGCTGGTTGCGTTGTCTCCCATCGCTCTGGCGCTGTTGTGAAGATGCTTTATTTGCTGTCTTACAGTCTCTCAGCCTGCAGGAAGCAGAATCAGTGTATTAATCACATCCACAGTGTGTTGCTTTCACATTTATCACTGTGAATGTGAACGCAATGATTGACTTTCCCATCAAACATGCTTCCTATTAATCACAGAAGTGACTTAAAGTCTCAGGAATGAACATTTGGAGAATCATCACCTTCACATCAATCCATTTTCACACTCAAGTCAATGACATGAGGGAGAGTAAATGACGACTGAATGATCATTTTAGGGTGAACTAGTCATTTAATTGTCTGTATTTGTTTAAGCAGTCGGTGGAAGGCTGCACGCAATTCATTCTCATCAAAGAAATGGAAAGCACTAGAGATATGAGGGCCAGTATAGAGACGTTAATATAGCTACTCTACATGCTGTCAGTAATCCCACAACTTTCAACACAAAGGAAAACTGTTTTTGTCACATGTCACTCAATTATTAAAAGCTAATTGTCTTTCATTTTTAAAACGGCATAATATTACAAGTTCTTCCTTGTATTCTCCAGACTTCGGCTGTCAAAAAACACAAAAACAAACTCACAAACACACATCTCTGCTGAAATACTGCAGGATCTTCAACTAAATGTAGGAGAATCTCATAAAAACATGTCACATTTAACCACAAAATCAAAGGGAAACATAAAAGTGTCCTACAATAAGCTTATATATACTGCATGTATATATATATATATATATTAGAAATCCTGATTATACAGTTTAATGTAATGGTATGCTCACCAAGGCCATATTTATCTGATTGAAAACAGAGTAAAACAGTAATATTGTGAAATATTTTTACAATTTAAAACAGCTGTTTTCTATGTGAATATCTGTTAGAATGTAATTTATTTCTGTGATGCGCAGCTGTATTTTCAGCATCATTACTCCAGTCTTCAGTGTCACATGATCCTTCAGAAATAATATATATTTAAAGCTTCAAATAACATTTAAATAAATTATATTATAATTTTGTACTATACACTATATGTAAGGCCCAAAAAGGAAATAAATATCTGAAATCTCAAAATATATTTATAAATCCTGAATATGAAGTACATGGCCAAATTTTAGGACCATTAACATTTTAACAATTAACGTTTTTTTATTAGCATTTAAATGAGCATAAATCAAAGGCATTACATCAAATACTTTCTTAAATGTGACCCAGGACCACAAAACCAGTCATAAGGGTCAATTTTCTGAAATAGAGATTTATGCATCATCTGAAAGCTGAATAAATAAGCTTCCAGTGATGTAGGGTTTGTTAGGACAATATTTGGCCGAGATACAACTATTTGAAAATCTGGAATCTGAGGGTGCAAAAAAATCTAAATATTGAGAAAATCATCTTTAAAGTTGACCAAATGAAGTTCTTAGCAATGCATATTGCTAATCAAAATATACCCCAGCGACTTAAGACTGCTTTTGTGCTCCAGGCTCACAAGTGACATTTTAAATAATATATTAATAGTAAGAATTTTAGGGGAAAATGTGCTAAATTGTCATAACAATAATCTTGACAATTTCTTGGTTTTGCTTGTAGGGTGAAATATAACCCATGCAGACATGTTCTCGCAGGTTTGAGCTTCACCATTTTACCTCATTTAAAACCTACTCAAATGTTTTTTTGCTGAAATGTTTGGCTCTTTCTTTCTTTCCAAACCATGTCTTGCTGCTTTCCCCCTCAGGAAAAGAAACAGCGGCGGTGTGAAAGCGTATTTATCAGAGCCTCAGCAGGAGCAGAGCAGCTCAGATGACTGCTGATGTGTGTGGAGACAGAGAGAGATGGACGAGGCTCATGCTGCACCTCTATGATGGCCCTGCTATGTTCTCCCAGGCAGGGCAGATGCTGCGTCTCCTCCAGGCGTCTCAGGGCAGCGGGGAGGCTCTTGAGCATGGATGCAGCTCTTCTGAACGCCAGGCTCGGCCCCTGATTCCCACAGAGCTCCAGGTTCTCCGCCAGCACCTCCAACGCATCCTACAGCAGCAGACAGGAGGAGAGCTTTGTCACGTGTCACTCAATTATTAAAAGCTAATTGTGTTTCATTTTTAAAACAGCATAATATTATGAGTTCGTCCTTGTTTTTTCCAGCTTCAGCTGTCAAACACAAACACATATCTGTGCTTAAAAACTGCAGGATCTTCAGATAAATGCAGGTGGATCTCATGAAAACATGCCCAAAATACATTTAACCACAAAATCATAATGCCAAAAAGCACAGGATTAAATGAAAATGTTTATAGATCTTGAATAAATTAACCAATTTAATTCTAAAGCATTAAATAAAGAAATATTTAACACATATAACTAACACTATAAGACCATAAAACTACTTTTGTTACTTGAAAAAAAAAACTTTTGACTAAAATATAATATAATATATTAAAAAAATATATAAATGTATTTTATTTCAGCGAGTTGGCGAAGCAAAATTTACTGAACTAAAACTAAAATTAATGAAAATTTTATAGACATATATTACAAAAATAATAATAATAATAATAAAAAAAATTTTAAAATGACAAAAAATGAAAATATTAGAAAAAAACTAATATAACCATTAACAATTTTTTACATTTAAATGAGCATAAATAAAACACAGTTCATCAAATATTTTCATAAATTACCATTTTAATAATATATTATTTTTCCACATACTTTAATGAGAATTTTAGGGGAAAATGTGCTTAATCATGACAATAATCTTTATAACAATATAATTTACTGATTTTGCTTTTAGGGTGAAATACAACAGGAGATGAATTATGAAAAACTAAAATGTTTTGTCACTCATTTATTAAATTATCTTTCATTTTATAGCGGCGTAATATTACAAGTTCTTCATTGTATTTGTATTTTTTTATTTTGTTTGTTTGTTGGTTTTGTAAGTGCCCAAGCAAAATTTACTGAACTAAAAATCAAATTAAAGAAAACTATATAGACAGATAAAAAATAAAAAATAAAACTTTAACTAAAATCTAAAACTAAAAACTAAAATCAGAACTCAAATTATAAAAAATCATTCAAAATAACTAAATGACAGTAATATATATATATATATATA